ATTTCCAGCTATCAGTCATGCAACAACACATAATGTCGCTTTGGCAGATCTGTTGAAGATCGAGAGGAAATTGAATGAATCTTAAACTACTTTTAAGGAAAAAAGCGATATGCTGTTAAAGACTTGACTGGACTTCCACTGTTTGTTCACGAAAAACTCGTCTGGAAAGCACAGACTTCTTAACAATGCTGCTGATGATCTTCTAAAACCTGAGTTCAATTTTGTATTATGCAACAAACCATGTAATCTCTCACATAGAATGTATTGTGTAGTTTGTCATCACAGTGAAAGATGGCACATCCTTTTGGCACTAAAGTGCTTAAACACTACTTTGTGCTTCATATCACAATGTAATCTGTTGGAATTATTTCTCACCAAGTGAGGGCAACTACAGGACACACAAGTGCAATATTTGTCAAACCAGACTCTGTTAGAATCTATTTGGCAGGATAGTGTTTCCATAGAAAATATTTGTAGACATAATAAACTCATCTTAGTTATAAATAAATCAAAGTATTATACAGTTCTCAAAAGGTGGATCCATAAACACACTGCACAAACACACCATTTCCATATGAAATAATTCATGCATTGTTGCACACGTGACATGCTCACACTGATTCAAATATGCCCCCCCACCCATAACCCCCCCTCAAATTCAATATATACTGTGAAATTCCTTTAGAAATGTAAAATGAACAAATACAGAAGAAAAGGCTATAATCAAGGAACAGAAAGACAAACCAGTAATCTTAGAGTTATTTGATATGCTGGTTTACATAACTCCTTAAACACATCACTAAAACTGAGGGTTTTCAACCTGTTCTTTGATATGTGAGGGATTTAAAGGGTTTCCTAACAGTGGGTCTATGTGCCCTAAGAAAGCATACCCAGACCAGTCAGATAAAACCAGTGGATACTGTAGTCCTATCCCTTATTTGTATGGCACATTGTTATGGTAAATATATGGAATCTGAATTTAAGTTTGTGATTGCTGAAAATGGTCCTTAGCTGATGTGCGTGAGCCTCGTGGAATGGGATTCTAAATGAACTCTATTTAAATGGAGGAAGGGCACCTGCTGACCCCGTGGCTGGACCTGTTTGCAGCCTTGCTGTTTCTATGCAAACACAGCCATGCATGCAGACTGTGATAAACGCGCAGGTCAGTCTTCAAAAATACCACAGTCATGATCTGGACAACAGAAAATCGAAACCAACCAGCAGGAATGGCATAACCTTACCCTCAGATGCCCCCCCCCCCACTAAAACAGCAACCTCTACAATAAGATCAATGAAACCACTACAAACTACTTAGGTATAACAATTACATTTGATTAATAACACTTGGCGTATGTTGGAGGTAAAGCATTTCTATATTTGCATGTAAGTTCTATTCATTGTAGTCGTGGCTGTTGAGGAGCTTTTTGCCCAATCTCTCAACTCTATAATAAGAAAGAAATTCATGGAAAATGGTTGACTAAGAGGGATCAGACGAAGCGCAGCCCAGAAGACCCTTTATGATGAAAAAGAAAAATGGCGCCAGAGTACCCTCGCCCGGGCGCGGGTCACCGGGGCCCCCCCCTGGAGCCAGGCCCAGGGGCGGGGCACCATGGCCATAACGAACACCATGTTCAGGCATAAGAGTGTCCATATGTGCACTTGGCACCAGGACACTCTAGGCCGCAGCTCAATGATCGACTTCGTTGTCGTTTCGGCTGATCTGCGGCCGTATGTTTTGGACACTCGGGTCAAGAGGGGGGCGGAGCTTTCCACTGACCACTACCTGGTGGTGAGTTGGCTCCGATGGTGGGGGAGGATGCCGGTGAGACCCGGGAGACCCAAAACGTATTGTGAGGGTCTGCTGGGAGCGCCTGGCGGAGTCCCCTGTTAGGCGGAGCTTTAACTCCCACCTCCGGGAGAGCTTCCAGCACGTTCCGGGGGAGGCGGGGGACATTGAGTCCGAGTGGGCCGTGTTCCACGCCTCCATCAATGACGCGGCCTCCCAGAGCTGCGGTCGCAGGGCTGTCGGTGCCTGTCGTGGCGGCAACCCTCGAACCCGCTGGTGGACACCGGCGGTGAGGGATGTCGTCAGGCTGAAGAAGGAGTCCTATCGGGCCTTTTTGGCCTGTGGGACTACGGAGGCAGCCGATGGGTATCGGCAGTCCAAGCGACATGCGGCTCGGGTGGACGCCGAGGCAAAAACCCAGGCGTGGGAGGAGTTTGGGCAGGCCATGGAAAAAGACTTCCGTACGGCCTCGAGGCGATTCTGGTCCACCATCCGGCGTCTCAGGGGGGGGAAGCAGTGCCCCACCAACACTGTTTACAGTGGGGATGGTGTGCTGTTGACCTCAACTCGTGACGTTGTGGGTCGGTGGGCGGAGTACTTCGAGGACCTCCTCAATCCCACTGGCGCGTCCTCCGTTGGAGGGGCAGAGCCTGGGGATCCGGAGTTGGAATCTCAAATCTCCGGGGCTGAGGTCACCGAGGTAGTCAAAAAGCTCTGCGGTGGCAAGGCCCCGGGGGTGGATGAGATCCGGCCGGAGTTCCTCAAGGCTTTGGATGTTGTGGGGCTGCGTTGGCTAACGCGACTCTGCAACATCGCGTGGACATCAGGGGCAGTCCCGCTGGATTGGCAGACTGGGGTGGTGGTCCCCCAATTTAAAAAGGGGGACCGAAGGGTGTGTTCCAACCACAGGGGGGATCACACTCTCCCTGGGAAGGTCTGTTCAGCGGTTCTGGAGAGGAGGGTCCGTCGGATAGGCGAGCCTTGGATTGAGGAGGAACAGTTTGGTTTTCGTCCTGGCCGTGGAACGCTGGACCAGCTCTACACCCTCAGCAGGGTCCTGGAGGGTGCATGGGAGTTCGCTCAACCAGTCCACATGTGTTTTGTGGACTTGGAGAAGGCGTTCGACCGTGTCCCTCGGGGTATCCTGTGGGGGGTGCTCCGGGAGTATGGGGTACCTGGCCCTTTGTTACGGGCTGTTCGGTCCCTGTACGACCGGAGTCAGAGTCTGGTTCGCATTGCCGGTAGTAAGTCGGACTCGTTTCCGGTGGGAGTTGGACTCCGCCAAGGTTGCCCTATGTCTCCGGTCCTGTTCATAACTTTTATGGACAGGATTTCTAGGCGCAGCCGAGGTGTGGAGGGTGTCAGTCTTGGTGGCCTTAGGATCACATCTCTGCTTTTTGCAGATGATGTGGTCCTGTTGGCTCCATCAAGTCGGGACCTACAGCTCTCGCTGGAGCGGTTCGCAGCCGAGTGCGAAGCGGCTGGGATGAGGATCAGTGCCTGCAAGTCCGAGACCATGGTCTCTCACCGGAAAAGGGTAGAGTGCCTTCTCCGGGTCGGAGCGGACTTCCTTCCCCAAGTGGAGGAGTTCCAGTACCTCGGGGTCTTGTTCGCGAATGGGGGTAGGGAGCGTGAGATCGATTGGCGGATCGGGGGGGGGGCTGCAGTAATGCGGGCGCTATACCGGTCTGTCGTGATGAGAGAGCTGAGCCTAAAGGCGAAGCTCTCAATTTATCGGTCGATCTACGTTCCCACCCTCGTCTATGGCCACGAACTTTGGGTAGTGACCGAAAGAATGAGATCGCGGATACAAGCGGCCGAAATGAGTTTCCTCCGCAGGGTGGCCGGGCTCTCCCTTAGAGATAGGGTGAGAAGCTCGGCCATCCGGGAGGGGCTAAGAGTAGAGCCGCTGCTCCTCCACGTGGAGATCAGGATGCCTCCTGGTCGCCTCCCTGGGGAGGTGTTCCGGGCTCGTCCCACTGGGAGAAGGCCCAGAGGAAGACCCAGGACCCGCTGGAGGGACTATGTGTCCCGGCTGGCCTGGAAACGCCTCGGGATCCCCCCGGAGGAGCTGGCTGAAGTGGCCGGGGAGAGGGAAGTCTGGGTCTCCCTGCTCAGGCTGCTGCCCCCGCGACTCCACCCCGGATAAGCGGAGGACAATGGATGGATGGATGGATGGTTGACTAAGACAGGTGTACATAAGTTACAGTTATATCAGTGGCCAAGTACTTGGTTTTATATTTGTAGATACAGGGACCGGAGGAGGCTTCTTTCTTTGTGGTACATGCGTGAGTTTATTCTGAGCATTTTCTGGGCAGCAGCTCACATTAGCTGTGCCCATTCATGGTGTTTCTAAATGCATTTTCCCTCTTTAAAGGCAATGACGATTCCAATTAAAGCCCAAAACACCATCTCCAGTGGATATAATGGATGGGTATGGTACGCGTGAGCAATGTGGGGCTCAGTTTTACTATCAAAGGGTTTCCTGACAGGCAAGCGACAGCTACTAAACTAATTAGAATAGTTCTAACAGAGAGACAGTGCAAATCCAGTTAAAAACACCTAAAAAATGTGGTGACAGATAGACTGAACGTGATATTGTGGACGTCCCTTTTGAATAAGGCAGTCTCCTGGGCAGAGATCTCATCAGTAGGTTAGGTTTGCTACACCATGTTATTGAAAGGACCTCTGACCGTGTTGCATTTTGCTGTTAAAGTCAAACCAATATTTTTATCATCCAGTTCAGTATCAGTTCCTGCTGGAGCCTTTCCCCAGGCGGGGCACACCTGGACAGGCTGCAGTCTCCCACAGGGCCACGCAAAGACAGACAACCAGCTCCTCACCATCAGGTCTACAGCAGCAGTGGATGCAGTTTAGCCTGAGATGCATCTTTGTGGGTGGAGGGGGGGGGGGACAACCAGCGCAAACACAGGGAGAACATGCAACTGCATCCAGGTGGGATTTAGGGACTCAGCAGAGAAAACAGGTAGCAGGGGTCTGATTGAGTCCTGACCTGCCCCCCCCCCCCCCCCATGGAACGCACGCAGAGAACAGAAAAATTAGCTGCTTTGTAAATATACCTGTGTATGGTTAGTTTTAAAAAGGAATATAAAATAGAACTGGGGTATCAAAGTAGCTGTAAAAGCAGGCTGTGGCTGAAGACACAAACCCAAACATCTCAGAGTCGTTTGGAGGCTGCTCCGGGGGGGGGGGGTTACACGGTGGTCTCATTCTTCCAGAGACCAGTCCGTATGTTTCCTGACCCGAGCAGACCGTCCTCCTGCAGACTTCTGTTCCTCCCGATGGCCCCCCGCCGGCTGACGGTGGCGTGCTGCCGGGGCAGCGTGTTTCTGGGGAAACCCCGGCCCTCCGGCTCCGGACCGGACTCCAGACCGGACTCCAGACCAGACTCCAGACCGGGCTCCAGACCGGGCTGCAGACCGGGCTCCTCCCGGTCGGTGTCCGCCCCCTTTGAGGTGTAGGGGTCAGGCTCCTGCTGGTATTGTGACGCGAAGGGGTTTGGCTTTTCAGAGCATCTGCCACTGGAGGAGGGCTCGGGCGGGCCGTAGATGTGCCACTGGCAGGGGGGGCCCCCGTGGGGGGGCAGGTGCAGGCTGTGGCAGGACGTGATGCTGTCGTACCTGCTGGGGGCGTGGCCGTGGCAGGAGGCCAGCGGGTCCTGGACGCTGTGGCAGGAGGCCAGCCGGTCCTGGACGCTGTGGCAGGAGGGCTGGCGCTGCAGGCCGAGGCAGGAGGCCAGCTGCTTGTCCAGCTGTGGGCTGGGGCAGGGCAGCTGGACGTCGGCGTGGGCGCTGTGGGACACCAGCGGGGAGCCTTCCAGGTAGAGCGTATTGCGGGGGCTGTCCAGGTGGGGGCTCTGCACGCCGGCGTCCATACTGAGGGAGGCCAGGTGGGAGCGGTAGCTCTGCAGGCAGGGGCGCGGCCGGCTGAAGGAGCGGGACTTCGCTCTGTCCGTAAGGCAGCTCTGGAGGGGGAGGGGGGGGCGGGGGAGCTCGTCGGGCAGAGCCGGGGGACACGGTGAGGAGACGGGCTCCATGAGAGGCGAGATGGGGGAGGCGGGGCTCATCACGGCCACACAGCACGGGCCGGAGTGGCTCGGGGCTGGGCTCTGGGGGGGGGGGGTGATCTGATCGTAGCAGCTCTGTACAAAGTGGGGCTGCTTCCCCGGGCACTGGGAGCTCATGTGGCAGCTGGGCTGGTGGAGCTCCTGCCTTTGGGTGGGGCCGTCCTGGGTTTTGGGCCTGGAGGGGCAGCAGGCCCACCAGCGGTTCCACACGTCGTCCCGCTTGGCGCAGTGCTGGATGAGGAGGAAGAGCCCCAGGGTGACGCAGAAGGCCCCGTACAGGCAGCTGAAGATCATGTCCAGGAAGTGTCCCAGGGACACGGCCAGCGCGCCCAGGGCCCAGGTGGCCAGCACCAGGAGGAGCGTGAAGGCCGTGGCCCGCAGCTGGGACTTAAAGGAGTGCTCGTTGGCCAGCAGCGACATGCTGGGTGGAAAGGCCGGGCAGCCCCCCCCCGGGCCCGGCCGGGCAGCCCCCCCCGGGCCCGGCCGGGCCGTTCGGCTGGCAGTGGTGGCCGGACCCACAGAGGGACAGCTGCTGCTGCTCCTCACTCAGGACGCGCAGCTCGTACCTCCTCTCCGGGTGGCGTTTGAGCTGCACGTAGGTGCACAGGAAGTACACACACATGACCAAAACCAGCAGACCCACCGGGGCGTAGAAGCTCCCCAGGCTGGGCTCCCACGCCATCCAGCAACTGCAGACAAACGGAGCGTGAGCTTCACTGGGAGTGGTCAAAGCTACTGAACAGGTGAGTACAGGGACATACTTACTACATAGCGTCCTCCCGGCTGCCGTAGTTCTCCATCCCAAAGGCTGCCGTCACTCCCACAATAAGGAGAGGTATGCCGTCGCTGACAAGGTAGAATCTGTCAGCAGAGGGTGAAAACGATCAATAGCACACGTCACCATGGATACGCTTCCAGCCATGACGCTGACTTCAGCGTTTATCTCACTACTGATTCCAGTAAAAAAATATGCTGGCTAATGTAACTCATTAGCCTGGCTGTGGAACACTGGACCAGCTCTATACCCTCAGCGGGGTCCTGGAGGGTCCATGGGAGTTCGCTCAACCAGTCCACATGTGTTTTGTGGACTTGGAGAAGGCGTTCGACCGTGTCCCTCGGGGTATCCTGTGGGGGGTGCTCCGGGAGTATGGGGTACCTGGCCCTTTGTTACGGGCTGTTCGGTCCCTATACGACCGGAGTCAGAGTCTGGTTCACATTGCCGGTAGTAAGTCGGACTCATTTCCGGTGGGAGTTGGACTCCGCCAAGGTTGCCCTATGTCTCCGGTCCTGTTCATAACTTTTATGGACAGGATTTCTAGGCGCAGCCGAGGTGTTGAGGGTGTCAGTCTTGGTGGCCTTAGGATCACATCTCTGCTTTTTGCAGATGATGTGGCCCTGTTGGCTTCATCAAGTCGGGACCTACAGCTCTCGCTGGAGTGGTTCGCAGCCGAGTGCGAAGCGGCTGGGATGAGGATCAGCGCCTCCAAGTCTGAGACCATGGTCTCTCACCGGAAAAGGGTAGAGTGCCTTCTCCGGGTCGGAGCGGACTTCCTTCCCCAAGTGGAGGAGTTTCAGTACCTCGGGGTCTTGTACGCGAATGGGGGGAGGGAGTGTGAGATCGATAGGCGGATCGGTGCGGCGCTGTACCGGTCTGTCGTGAAGAGAGAGCTGAGCCTAAAGGCGAAGCTCTCAATTTATCGGTCGATCTACGTTCCCACCCTCGTCAATGGCCACGAACTTTGGGTAGTGACCGAAAGAGCGAGATCGCGGATACAAGCGGCCGAAATGAGTTTCCTCAGCAGGGTGGCTGGGCTCTCCCTTAGAGATAGGGTGAGAAGCTCGGCCATCCGGGAGGGGCTCGGAGTAGAGCCGCTGCTCCTCCACGTGGAGAGGAGCCAGTTGAGGTGGCTCGGGCATCTGATCAGGATGCCTCCTGGTCGCCTCCCTGGGGAGGTGTTCCGGGCTCGTCCCACCGAGAAAAGGCCCAGAGTTAGACCCAGGACACGCTGGAGGGACTATGTATCCCGGCTGGCCTGGGAACGCCTCGGGATCCCCCCGGAGGAGCTGGCTGAAGTGGCCGGGGAGAGGGAAGTCTGGGTCTCCCTGCTCCGGCTGCTAAGGATAATGGATGGATGGATGGATGTAACTCATCAGAATTGTGAACACTAAAGGATCATTTGAATATCAGTCCCGTTTTCTTGCCGTTGTAGGTTCTAATTTTTTATGAGATCCTTTAGCTCTGGAATTGAATTATTTGTCAAACAGCTCAGCTCATCCAAGGACACAAAAATCTTCTACTGAAAAATATTGTGTCTCTCTATTGGCTGTCAGATACTACTACTTTTGCATAGTAAGGTAAATAAGTCTCTTGGTTTATGTATAATTTTACATTGGATAATATTTATATTTCACCTAGCATCTTTTTTGTTTAGCAAGTCTTAGTTCAGTAGGGATCTTCTGCCCTGAAGACACAGTGATGTGATGCACCCTGGACAGTCCAGTCACCAGCCCATCACAGGGCCACACGGCCACGAAAGAGACAAAAAACCAAGCACACTCACACTAAAGGTCCATTTAGAACCATTAATTAACTTAATATACTTCTTTTATTTTACTGTGGGAAGCCAGAATACATGGAGAAACATGGAGCCCACACATGCACGCGGAGGGTCATTTTGCTGACCCTGCCTCCAGGTTACCTGAGTACGGTCGGCTTGGTGCGCGTCTGGGCTGGTCCGCTCCTGTCCTGAGTCCGATGGGGGTCTTTGGAGACATCTTTACAAATATTTCTAGCAGTGAATGTCAACCAAAGCATGGTTGACAAGGAAGCATAATGAAGCACAATGCCGACCTAACAAAATACAGAGACACAAACAGATATTAGGAAGGATTGCGTTCTCAAAATGAGCAGATTTACCTCATGAATAAAACATTATGCATACATACATCCCTAGAAATATTCAAGGTAATGTCATTCAGGCACTCGAAAACTTCTGCAAAACAACCTCAGAAGAGCGTGTGCAGACACTCACAATTTGACAGACCAAAGGACGGTTGATCTGATTGATGCCTCCAGCAAAAACTCCGAACGTGAGTCCTGTGTGAAAGAGGAAGTTGAGGAGGGTGTGCCAGCCGTTTCTGCTGATGCGGATCACACTGGAGACAACCAAAGTTCAAATCAGAAACATGGACAGCCACTGTGTAAGCTTCACTCAGTGCAGGTTAAACTGCAAACAAGACGGGTGGAAACGACCTGCAGTGAGGGATTTAGGTGTGAATATCGTAAAAATGTGCGGTTTTGCCCGGTTTAATGACAGCTCCATTTACAGGCTCCTGTGCAACACAGTGACAGAAGCTGGAGCTTATTGGTTTGTGAGAGCCCAGCACCTGAGCAGAAAGGTGTGTTTAATTGTATCGACCACCAAATTAGATGGAAATGTAAATGACAGTGGTCAGTCAGGGGCAGAAGGAGACCACAGATCTGACCCCATTAAAGATGGAATGAGATCCCACACATCCAAAGTGCCTCTTCTGCACTGGAAACCTCCAGAAAATACTCAGCTTTAACGCTGGAACATAGGAAGGATAATTACATGCATCAAAGTATTTCATCTATGCTTTGCAAATGGTTATCTAACTACCGAGTAAACAAGACTCTCCAAACAGCTACAAAGTGATAATGTTTATCGTTTAGGATCAAAATGCTGTGGCCTTGAATGCATGCAAGCATGAAACCATATAAGGACTCCAGAGCATGAGCAGTCATGAAATCAAGTACTGGAGCATGAATGCAGGGAGAGGATTGGTTTAAAAAAGGGTGTAGTTCTTCTTTAGCCTATAGAACGGGTCGGCCCGTCTCCCTGTTTGGCCCTAATTCGTAAAGGAGGACCACCTAAAGTGGGCCGAGCCGGGTAGCAGGGCAGCACTAACGCTGACGGTGTACAGACAGAGGGGAGTAGTTCTACAGGGAGCCTGAGTTTGATCTCTTTGATGAAGGTTTCCTCTCTTTTCTTTTGCCTTCCTGATGAAATATTCTCATTTTAGCCCATTAGAGCGGAAATGCTTCAAATAACTCCTCAGGAATAGCACGCATTGTCCCCTCTGGTTTTCTTACAGGAATGGATGGTCAGTTAAAAGAGGAGTGGCACAGATGCAGCTCAGACATGTGGAGGTCATCCTGCTAACTACTACACAGTTCCCACCTGCCTGCTTCTCACTCAGGATCCACATGTGAACACTGAGAAGAACCCAAGATGTGTTTTTTTTTTATTGTCATTAAAGCCAAATTCCACTCAAAATTCTACTTGTAAAGATGTAGATGTACAGATCAGGGTCAGGTGGTACAGGCTGATGTAACAGACACTGACCTACAGGCTCTTGCTGGGCGTAAGATAAAGGTAAAACTCTGGCCTCACCTGTGGTGGACGATGTAAGTCATGATGGAGACGAGCAGGCAGAGCAGCATGACGGCCGTGCAGGCGTACACTACTGGATGCAGGTAATCCCCGGGGTATGGAGGGAAGGACAGCACCCGCTTTAGATCCTGGAAAGTTAAGGAAAACTGGTATTTTACTCATTAAAAAAAGTCTCCATTAGAGTATGTAGTCTGTTTCAAATCCCTCTTGACCGGACTGTATTTAATCAAAGGTTGCAATCGTCTCTCAATACCCACAGATTACTCAAAGTAACCCCAAATCATAACACATCATTTCTTTAGATACAGTTTCACAAATGGATTATGATCTCAAAAATGTAAAACACATTCGATTTATTTTAAATAGACCTTAAATCACCTTTGTTATCCATTTTCAACTTTCTCAAAATGGTTTAGGTTCTTAAGCAAATGAGTCCAGCCACATTAGAAGGAAACTCATTTTCACAATGTCATCTCTTCTTCTTTGAGAATTACAATGAAGATGGATCAGTAATCAGAATCAGAAAAAGCTTTATAGCCTAGTACGATTCAGACGTATAAGGAATTTGTTTTGGCAGCATGGCTGGTATCTGTTCTGAATCTATGTGTAACTATAAATATATACACCGTAAGTATAAGTACAATGAATGAAGAGCAGTACAACAAAGTGTAAGTGATCACAATGTGCAAAGTCATTCTAGTGTGAATGTAAAACAAAAGCTTTGCTTTTTGGCCCCCAGGAGTGCAGGGCTGGAAGAAGCAACACAACTAAATAGTCTAAAACCTAAAGTTGGAACCATAACATCCCAGCACAACGTCAGCTGACCATCTATGCTCTGAAATGATGTCCATGCATAAACACAACACACAAACAATGAAATGAGCTTTAAATATAAAAACTGGCCATGTTTTTAGTTGTGTTTTACATTTGTGGTAATTTATCCATAACATAACTTGTAGTTCCACAAACAATGGGAAGCAGGACAGCAGCAAAAAAGAACAGATTATTTAGCTTTTTAGCTCAGAAGACTGTGAGTTTAACGTGACCAAAATAAAATGTGTTCCTTTAATTCACCCAAACAAATAAGACCACCGTTTGCAGCTCAAACTCCCCCAATGCTTTAGGACCACAAGCTATTTGAATTAGTCCATGCAATCTTTTCTGTGTAAAACGGCCTGTGAGTCCCGGGCGTCCCGCTGGGGGGGGTGGCAGCTGTGGGATTTCAGAGCGTCAGAAGGAGCTCCTGCCCTGAGGGGGGGGTCACTGACTAACGGTGGCACCGCTTCAGGACGGTGACATCAC